GGGTACATACAGCGGTGTGTCAATGTATTGCTGACATTGTATCCCACGTCATCTCACAATATCCCCTAAGGTTCTGCATAGATGTTGTTAAATAGAAGTGGTGACAGGAGTGAGCCCTGAGGCACTCTGCAGGTCAGAGCTCTTGGAGGAGGAGCAGCTGTCCATGATGGGTCTTTGGGGATCTGTTGGAAAGGAATGAGTGAAGCCAGCATAGCACAGTTCTCTCATGGCATGCCAAGACAAGTAGTTGAGTCAGCAGTACCTCCTGATCAGCAGTGTCAAAGGCAGCTGATAGATCGAGTAGTATCAGCGTGATTGAGTCACCTCTGTCCAACTCTATGAGGAGCCCCGAAACCCCATTGCTGCTTCATTTCCAGACTCTGCTATGAAGTCAGACTGGGAGAGTCCACATTATCTGCTGAGGTTGTGTTGCTGGAGTTGATTTATCACTATTTTCTTGAATCTTGCCAAGGTTTGAAACGGGATGGTAGTTAGTCAGGTCACTAGTGTCAAGTACTGGTTTCTTGAGCAGTTTCAGGTTTACGTATTTTCTAATTGCTCTCCCCAGCCCTTGCAATGATACTGGCCTTAAAATAAGAGTAGAGCCAAAAAGTAGAGAAAATAAAATCTCCATGGGCATTCTGCTGCTCTTGGGAAGGGCAGTGAATTCTCTGCACGTCAGCACAGCTAGGGACACTAGCAAACCTCCAGAGAGAAAAGGCTGCTTGTTTCTTTCTCCTTTTATTTTCATCTTAACACCTCAGTTGTTTGTAATGAGCACTGCCATGGAGGGAAACGATACTACAGAAGAGGAGGGTCTGACCTCTGTGGGACTGGATCCAATCCAAGTTTGAAGGTGGAGGTACCCAGCGTCTAGTGAGAATCTAGGAGCTGTATTTTAATGGCATAAAGTTCTGGGGGTGATGAGTGTGATCTCTTCTGGGGTTGGCTGGCTGTATGTTTTTAATGAGTATTTCATCCCTTGGTTTCTAATCTGAGATGTGACAGGTGCTAAAAAATGCTCTAAATTATGCCCAGCTTTGAGCTACTCTAGCAGCTAGAGATTGGTAGCATGCACTCACCCTCTGGCAATGTACTCTGTACCAGGGCAGGATGGAAGGAGTGGCATAGAGCTGCTACATTGGCTGTATGCCGGCCTGGGCTTTCCTGTATTCAAGAGGAATCCTGAAGGATGTGAAGGGGTACAAAGCAGCTAAGGTGTAACGTAGGAGCACTGTCTTTAATAGTGACCTAGGGCCTGATCTAACTCTTGTATTAAAGTAGTGCTAGGTACTGTACAGACAAATTTCTCTGCCTAAATAGACAAGATAGACAAAGGTTTCAAGAAGGGAAGGACTATTATCCATTGACTTTGGTCAGGGTTAGATCAGACTGTTACTGATAAGTAGAAAATCTTCATTTCTCAACATTTAAAAGGACATAGACCTAACAGAAATCACAGGGCCTGATTCTCCCCCCTGTTACATGGGTGTTATGCCAGTGACATTCCCCTGAAGTCAGTGTAATTGTATCAGCGTAACATTGGTGTTTAGAGAGACGAGAAGCAGGTCTTACATATTTTATGAATGGCTTTCCTAACTCATGTTGCTAACTACATTAAATGATTACATTTTAAAAAATCCTTTCAGGTTTAATTTACTTTTCACTATTAATGTGGTTTGTTTACTTTTTACTCTTGTTGAATTTGGTCAGTAAAACTAGATTGGTCCATTAAGTTTTGCTTAAGTCACTTCAGTTCTCTGTTTCCCTTCCCACTCTTTGTCTGTCCTATCTATTTAGACTGTAAGTTCTTTGGGGCAGGCTGTGTCTCTTGTGTGTACGTACAATGCCTAGCACAATGGGCTCTTGACCTCCTTTGATGCCTTTAATATTAATAATATTACTTCTTGGTTTTCCTGCATAAGCAAAAAAGTTGTCATGCTTGGATTGCAGCACTGGAGAAGATGCTTACATTCAAAAATGCTTTTGGTCACATTTCTTTAAAAATGTAATGAAAATTCAGAGTGGGCCAAATTTACTCGTGTTGTGATTCCAGGGAAGTTCAATGTTAAAACAAACAAAATAACAAAGTTTTCCATTAAGATGTAACTGATGTAATAAAATGTTGCTTTGCTTTTTAATGTCAATTATTCTCCCTGGTTTCAGCCTTCAGAACCAGAGCTTGGCCCAACTCTCAGACCACCACTGTAAATCCCCACTTCTCCAAAGTCTGAGTTGTTTGGATTTGGGGTTTTTAGATTCTGCTCATCATAAAAGCGCCAACTGTGAAATTTGAATCTGGATCCAAACTTCCCTAAAGTTCAGAGGTGATGGAGTCCAAACCAGAACCTTGCATCCACATCTCAATTAACTAATTAACATTTTTTATAGAAGAGAAAAAGCTCTCATTTAAAAATCATTACAATTGGTATAAAATATCTAGTCTCCAGCCAAACATAATTCTCAGTGGAGTTACGTGGAGGATGAATTTGATATACTAGACTATCAGCTTCTACTGATCATCAAACACATTTAAGTTTTGGAAAACCTTTCTTCCCCTTGTAGGAAAACCTAAATTTTAGGCTTAAACCATACTTGACAGTATCACTTTAAGCCAAATATTTAACATTCAAAGATTTGCAGTTATTTTCAGTTTACAGCAGTATGGAAACTGAAGTAGTCTCCAGCTATGACTCCTATCCTGGTTGCTGTAGTTTATTCTGTTGAATTTTTGTTAATACAGTATGCCGGTCATGCTCATATTTCATTGGGGGTGGGGTGTGTGTGATTCTTACTACACAGAGAACCTGTGCAGTGTGTGACAGTTTGTTTTCATCCAGTTTCTACTCTTTGTTCTATAAAGACCACCGTGTGTCTGAACATCCCTGGTTTAACATGGGAAGGAATTTGACTTAGCATTGCTGATACTCAAAGTGTGTAATCAAAGTCAGTAACACGGAAACTCAGACTGATCAGAGTAACAGTTCTTCTCACACACACGTGTATGGGAAAGCCAGCTTTAATTAGAGGTTTTAATAAGTTTTCATTTCTATTCAGTCAATCTCATACAGTATGTGCAGCTTTTTTTTCCCCTGGAAGAAGGGGCCTGGTATTGTCTCCCTGGGATCTGAGTGCAGAGAAGATCCTGCTTTATGCAGATCTCTCTCTGCATGGGCTGTACGTCCACATTACTGTCCTCTCCATTCGTCTTCAGCATTGCATGCAAGAGGTGACACCTCTATTGGTTCTGGGGCCAGTGGACAGAGGGGGAAGATGGGGCTGAGAGGGGCTAGATACACCATGAGTGTTGTCTGCTGCAAGAAACAATTGGACAGTCCTCTGAAAAGCTGTTGCAGCTTGAGGCTGTATCAGCTGTTAATGTGTAGCCCCTATATCTGACACCTTTTTATTGGCTGCTTTCCCTCCCTCCTCCACTTTTGCTCCCTTGGCATGGAATTTTCTCTCTTGTAGCAGACTAATTAATGCCAAATTCAGTGCAAGTTATACTACTTTACTACTTTACACCTATTTTCTGATCAATTATGCCCATTGCTGAATTTCACCCAGTAGGATGAGGGCCAGCTCCAGGGGTATGCTGTGGCAGCTTTGTGACGCTCCAGCTCGACGGCCAAACTGTCATCAAAGTGGCACAACATACTGGAGAATCTAGCCTCACTTTGTTGAAAGTATGCCTTTCTTGCTATTAAAGAAGCTGTAACTAGGAGATTTAGGGCTATCTGTGGTGTGCAGTTCTTTTGTTTTTGTTTTTTGTTTTTATCATTCTCTATAGAAGCCGAAGGGTTCACAAAGTTTGGAACAAATGGCTATTTATCAAATAAATTATACGATAACGAGAAGTCTCTCTAACTATCATCCCACCTTTATAAACTCAAGAACAATGGATTTGTCATGCTGGTAAATCTAGTATCCTACTTCCTGGCCAGTGCCCTAAGCCAGCTGTGGAAAGCTGTAAAGGGGCAAAGGTTAGATTTCTTTCCTGTCCCTTGCAGTGATCACTGTGTGCCATGTTGCACATACTGGTGTGTTTCATTTCTATAGTGTCAGTCATCTAAAGGACCACAAGCACTTTACAAACTATGGGGTAACATGCTATATCAAGCCAAACCCTTAATGTGCAGCTGTACTTAGCTCTCCACTCTCCCTGATTATTCTACCTAGGAGCACAGATAAGTCCCTATTGCTAGCTCAGGGGGCACACACCCATAAGCATGCAGAGCATGAGTCTCACCTGCAGGACCAGCCTTGGAGCGGAGGTGTGTGTCTGCAGGTTTTGAAATGAAGTTCTCTTAAACTGGCCCAGTGTTTTTAAAGCAGCTTTTCAGTTGTTCAAACATACTGGGGAAGTTGCCCTTCAATACAGAACAAAACTATGGGCTCATTTTGTGAGCTGGATTTGAACCGGCAAACTGGAAGCGAAAAGCTTTGCCTCCCATTACCATCTATTTCCCTGACTGACGTTTGCATTATCCTTAAGGGTCTGTCTACATTGCAGCTGGGAGTGAGCATCCCAGTCTGGGTAGACAGGCCTGCATGAACAGGACTCCACTTATCACACTAATAATAGCAGCATGGACATTGCTGCACCGGTGCTAGCCGTCTGATGAGGTGAGTCTGAGCTTGGATGGCTAGCCTGAGCCTCTGCCAGTGCAGCAACATCCACGCTGCCATTTTTAGCAACATAGCTTGAGCCCTGTTAGCACAGGGGTCTGTCTACCTAGGCTGTGGCTCTCACTCCCAGCTGCAATTGGTATAAAATTGGTAGACATACCCTCAGTGTCTAATCTTCTTATGACTCTTACTACTCTCTGTGCCTTAGTGACACCCTGTGGCAGTAAGTGCCTCAGGTTAATGCATACAATGTGTCTGTGGAAAGTATTTCCGCTCATCCATTTTTAACTGACCCCATGTCCCCTTCTTTCCATGACTTGTTCAGGGAGACCAAAGCAATCTCTTACTCTCTGCTCTTTTCCTCCTGGCAGACTTGGAGACCAGTTCTACAAAGAAGCCATCGAGCACTGCCGCAGCTACAACTCTCGGCTGTGCGCTGAGCGCAGCGTCCGCCTCCCCTTCCTAGATTCGCAGACTGGGGTAGCTCAGAACAACTGCTACATCTGGATGGAGAAGAGGCATCGGGGACCAGGTAGGCAGCATTCTGTGTGTGTGTGTCTGTAGGGTAGGCCACTGAGCCCTCGCGGGGTTTAATTACTAAAAACTCAAACCTGTTAAGGGCCACACAAATAGGAGAAGCTGCCTAAACCTCCTGGCCTGGAGGGGATTCCCTTCGGTAACTGCAGTGAGCGGATCCTAATTATTCTTTCTATTGCTTGAGATAGTAGTTTCTAATGCTGCATCATCACAGCTCCTTTATTGCTATTGATCTGAGATAGTTGCATAATAGAGGACCTCTATTCAAGAGAGCCTTGGAAATATTCTAAAGGAGGGAGGACTCTCACCAACCTTATTTCTCAATAGGAAACATACATTTAAGGAGAGTCTTATTTTCTGAAATTCACTTTGCTCCAGTGATTACAGCAGGGGACCAGGAGTCAAGAGATCTAGATTCTTTTCCCAGATCTGCCTTAGACAGATCACTTGGTCTTCACCTCTGTGTCTCAGTTTTCCATCTGTGAAAGGAGGATAAATGTCCTCATAAATATGTTATGAGGGCAATATGGGCCTGATCCAAAGTCCACTGAATTCAGTGGAAAGTCCTCCGTTGACTTCAATGGGCTTTCGATCAGGTTCTAATTCATTATGTTTGTAGAGCAGATTGAGATCCTCGCATGGAAGTTAAAGTATTGTTGGGTCAACCCTAAGCACCCTACTCTAACAAAACTCCCACTGAAGTAATTGAGAATGTAGCCAGATGCATTATTTGTTGAGAGAATGGAATTTTTGACATTTTGATCTCTGCCAAGTTGTTTTTTTTTTTTTTTCAATATTTGGGACAAAGACCCAAAGTAAGAGGGGAACACCCAAAATTTACAGTGAAGGGTTGATTATCCAACTGCCTCGGTGGGAAGTGTACACATTTATAAATAATTGGGGTTCTGGATAACGGATGTTCTCAGTTCAATAGACATTGGATGATATAGCTCTGTTTTGGATAATTGATGGTTGGATAATGGAGGTTGCACCCGCTCCTTAACGAATGTGTGATTCATTTTAGAGCCAGAATAGTATTTTGTATAATTTGTGGTTCCTGGGTTTCCTTTTTGCGTAAATCATTTACAATAAGCAAAAATGAAATCCTACCAAGATGGCGGTGGCAGTGGTGTTGGTGGGGGGGCGGAAGAGTAAATGTGGGTCTCTCAAGAGGGGTGTGATTTGTAATAAGGGGCAGCATCTATGTGTGCAGTGCTAGCGCCATGTCCTGCTTGCTTACTCTTGTGAGTAGTCCCGTTGAAGTCAATGGGCCCTACTTGCAGAAGTAAGGTGAGTGGTTTTGGTTCTTGGGGTGCAGCTGTGGAGGGAGCAGACTGGTTGTGTTCAGATCAAACTCTGCAGTGATGCTTTTGCAAATGAGAATAGAGGCAGGAAGCAGGTTGCCTTCCCTCATTTTAGCCCCACTTTTTTTCCATGTGTTTCAGCAAATCTATCTAGGTGCTTAAATGGCTATAGAATCTGAATGTCTCAAGTGTTTAAGAAGAGAAATAACAATCTCTCACTCTTTCTTCCTTCCTAACCTCTGGGGGAAATGTCTGGATTCGTTTCTCGCTCTTGGTTTCTGTGTGTGTTCATGTGCATTTCGTACATGTGCAGGTTGAGGGAAAGCTAAGTCCAAGATGTGAGTTTTTGTGTCTAGTTCTGTTTGTGGGGAGGTCCTTGGTCATTCTTATTTCTTGTGGTAGACAGTTCCACAGTCTTGGGATGGTGAGGCCTGTTCCTTTCTCTGTGACTGGCCAGGTGGAGTCATAGCTAGCCCAGGGGCATATGGAGGAAACAGTTCCTACATTCCACCAAGTTCAGGGACTGGAATTTTCCCTGGCCATTTCACAGGGCACAGAATGTGGGAAGGCATCTTGCACTGTTCCCCACCTGCACACCAGGGCTCAGGGCTTGTGTGTACATAAATATTAACCCAGAATAAGGTAGTATGTGAATTTAAAACAGATTAACTATTCCCAATTAATTCCATGTGTGGATGCTCTTATTCTGGAATAAGATTGCCTTATTCCAAATTAGTTTACTCCATTTTGGTAGCAGATTAAACTAATTTGGAATAAGGTGCTCTCATTCCAGGGTAAGAGCATCCACACATGGAATTGATGGGGTATGGCTATTCCAGCATAACACCTCCAGCCTCACCCCCACCCAATGTAAACAAGTCCTGAGGCTAGGGTTGGCCCTAACTAGTTAAACCTCACAATACCCAAAGTAAGACCAGCTCTAAGTAAAGGATACGTGGGAGTCACGTCACCGATCACCGAAATGCAGCCACTCCTGGTGTGGGATATAGAAGCTGTGTTATTAGTGCACATCAACACTACATTATCATTTAGGATAAGTTCTGAAGGATGGTAATACCTTATCCACTTGAAACTAAAGGAGGAGTTTGGGTAGGCAGAATGTAGTTACCTGAGCTGGAATTTGTCTTGGTCTCTGGGGACCTTCCTTCCCACGAGAAAAGTCTCATGGGATCTTTAGTGACCACCGTTGGTTTTGTTTCATCTGAAAGCTCCCTGTTCCAGAGAGATTATGCTTTGGCAAAACAAGGTAATTTTTGCTTTTTGTTGTTGTTAATGTATTTACACCAAGAGCTTCTGTTCCTGCAGCATCTGGTTATGAGTGAGATACGGTTGTTTTTATCCGTTTGAACTCACTTACACACATAAGCAGGTATGCATTTATTATATGTAGAAGCCAGATGCTGGAGGGAGCATATGCTACAAGGATGGCACAAGGCAGCCTTGTACCAGGCACACTGTTATCTTGATGTTTATAGGAGGAATCATTGTCTAGTGTTTAAAGCATAGGGCCAGGAGAGCTGGGTTCTTTGACCAGGTTTGTCACTAACTCACTGTTATCTTGGGCAAATTTGTCGACCTTAGCCATACTTGCATCACTGTGCCTCAGTTTCTCTGTCTACGAAATGGGGATAATAGCGTTTCCCTTTCTCACAGGGCTGTGATGAGGACTGATTAGTGGCAAGACATGTTTCGTTTAGAATTTAAATAGGCTGAAGCCGCCTGTATCTGCGTCAGCTACCAAACCTGAGGTCTTTTTTATTTAAACTATAATGATTTAGAAAGAAACCAAGAATCCCTCCTCCCCCATATTCGCTTTGCTGTTCCTTGATGTGATTAGCTCATTTAGTGCTCCCTTGGGTCTCTCTGTACCATCCATCTCTTGTAGCCCCATTGTGACGGGACACAGCATCTATCTGTGGTGTGAGCATTGCCGTTTTCAGGCTGCACACACTGTGTTTGTGGCAATATCTCCACCAGCCATTGTGGTGTCTGGGTTGTGTGCACCCCTTTGCTTTGTTTACTGGCCTTCACTTCCCCCATCTCTAACCTGAAGCACTGCACACAGGAAACAGAAAAGATCCAGAACCTCATTTCACTTACACATGGTTTAAAAGCAGGAGAGGAGAGTCAGACGCCCCATGGATAAACTTGGTTTCTTACAGCCTTCTTGTAAAGGCGTTAGAAGGCTGCCTCTCGCGACACAGTTCAGGGTTAATTTCACACAACACTGCACATAACTCCCTCCCTCTTTTCCCTTCCTTCCCCAGCCTTTCACGCAAGCTTTGAGTTATGACTCTCCTACACTAATGAGATAAACAACATAACTCACTGCAGGTTCTGCTATTTCCTCTATAAGCAAATGGTTGGAACCTTCTATGGTTGCCCTATAAGGCACAGCAGTGCAAGACAACCCAGCAAGTACTAGAGAGGGCAAGAACTGTACATGTTTTATCGTGGGCACAGGCAGAGTCAGAGTAGGGGAGATAGGTTCAAAGCAGATGTAAAAGGCCCTCTCTCTTGCCACCTCCTCCACAAAAATGACCAACAGTTCACACTTTACTTGATCATGTTGATAGATTGGTGGTTGGGGGGTGGGGGACAATGGTGTAAATCTTCCCTCTTGAAAACGGTATCAAACCTGTGTGGATCAAGTGAAAGTTTATTTAGTGGCTGGCTGAACACTGCTGAGCAGGGATTTATTGAATAGCAGAGGAGAGCTCCCCTCAAAAGTTTCATAGGGTCAGTTTGGAGGCCTGCAGGAGCTTATCTGAGTCCATCTGGTGACGAATTGGGCTGGAGGCCTTCCTACAATATTTCTGGGACTTCCTGCTTCCAGCTGAGCTTTTAGTATTTTGATGTTTGTGATTCACCATCTTTGCTGGAGCCTAGAAGTGCCAATTTGTGAGAGACCGAGAAACCATAGAACCAAAGATTTTCAAATCTTACCAAAAAAACAAAAAAAAAGTTAGGTTTTGGGTTAAAGCTCAGGTGCAGGATTTTACCCAAATCCCGCATCCCAAGGGAACAGGTCAAGGAACCTGATTCTCCTTTCTCACCATTTTTTACACCAAAGTAAGACTGTGAATGCCCCTGCACAGGGCATGTTTGTGGGAGGGTTATACTCCTTGTATGCTCCCCCACAATGACCCACAGCCAGTCACAATGTATACGTTAATAATAGCAATTTAAATACTAGTTAAGGTTTGTAAAGTGCCTTGAAGAAGTATGTCAAGCACTATAGAAGAGCTAGGTAATTCAGTGTTTTTCCTTCCAAAGTCAGTCATAGACTATACACAACCCACTGAAATGCAGCATTCTCTGAGGTAGGGTGTAACAACTGTCACACTGCATAACAGGGAAGGGAAATTGTTGCTAAGGCCACCAGAGCCAACCCCCATTCTTACAGATGGTGTCAATCCATGCAGGGCAGACAAGAAACTTTGTTTTCAGGATCTTCTCCAAAAGCCCCTCCCATCCCCCAGTGAATTTGTTGGTGCTCAGTTTATCTGCTGTGACAGGGTCAGGCCAGATGACTACAGGAGAGTGATAGGCAGATATATTAGCCCCAGGTTAAGTAGGTCCCTTTTCCTTGGGTAAGGTAACAGGGAAGGTTCCAGAACAATCAGGAACTTTCTGGAAACAATTAAGGCAGACAGGCTGATTAGAACACCTGCAGCCAATCAAGAAGCTGCTAGAATCAATTAAGGCAGACTAATCAGGGCACCTGAGTTTAAAAGGAGCTCACTTCAGTTTGTGGTGCGTGCGAGGAGTTGGGAGCAAGAGGTGGAAGAAGCTGAGAGTGAGAGGGCATACTACTGGAAGACTGAGAAGTACAAGCATTATCAGACATCAGGAGGAAGGTCCTGTGGTGAGAATAAAGAAGGTTTCGGGAGGAGGCCATGGGGAAGTAGCCCAGAGAGTTGTAGCTGTCATGCAGCTGTTACAGGAGTCCCTGTAGACAGCTGCAATCCACAGGGCCCTGGGCTGGAACCCGGAGTAGAGGACGGGCCCGGGTTGCCCCCATCCCTCCATCCCCCCAACTCCCTACTTGATACTGGAGGAGTTGACCTGGACTGTGGGTTCCACCAGAGGGGAAAGACGCTGGCCTGTTCCCCGATCCACTAGGTGGATCAGCAGAGACTGCGGGGATTGTTCTTCTTCCTTTCCCCATGCTGGCCAGTGATGAGGCTAACTGAGTGAACTGCATATTTGAGCCACGAAAGTGGCCAAACTGAGGGCTGCCGTGAACCTCTGAGGTGAGAAAATCCGCCAATAAGTGCAGGACCCACCAAGGCAGAGGAGGAACTTTGTCACACTGCCTCAAGAGGATAAAGGGTGGCTTGACCCTGCTGGGATTTGAACTTTATTTTCTAGGAGTCTCCATATTTCAAACTGAAGACTTAGGCTGCACTTGCCAAATTTGATTTGCTCTTTCCTTTGGGGTGAGGAACTGGGATGGCCCAGTTTTCACAAGTAAGTAGGGTGTCAGTTTTTTTCATAATCAACATCTGGTTTGGGGAGTAGATTTTGTTCCTGGTTTGGTGAATGTTCTTTGCTTTTATGTAAGGCTGGCTTAGACCACTCCGCTATCACCATATGGTAGGATTGTTCTGCATTATTGACATAGGTTTGATATTGTCAAGTTGTTCAAAAATGACCATTTGTGTCCATGGGGTTAAAGCCGTTCCCATCCTATCGGTTATAATTCTTTTTTTTTTTGTTTTTTTTTAAGTGGCGCTCTGGTTGCAGTGAACCCCTGTGCAGAATGAAATATGTTTAGTGAGACACGTGGCTTCTCTGTAGGGCTGATTCTGCAAGATGCTGAACTGCTTCTGGGGTGCTGAATGCCTTCAGTTCTCTGAGCTGCTTCTCACTTTGCAGGATTGACCCCTATAGTATGGTAATACTGGGAATGGAGAAACAGAGATGCTTGAGAAAATAATGGGGATTTACAAATGCAAAGGGGACCACATTTATTTTTTGTTTTTAACCCACAGGACTGGCCCCAGGTCAGCTGTACACATACCCTGCTCGCTGCTGGCGCAAAAAGAGACGCTTACATCCTCCTGAGGACTCCAGGCTGAAGCTTCTGGAAATTAAACCTGGTACGTGTTTTGTGTTTCTTTCTCACTTTCTCTCTCCTCTGTGTTGCATTCACTGAGGTATCGTGGATCAAGTGAAGACTGGCATACGCACAGCACTGGTGCTTAGTCTCTGGACTCTGTCTTGGCCTATCTCCTTCTTCTTCTCTTTATGCACTGGACTTGATAAAATCTCCATTCTTTTTTTAGAAAATAAAATAAATATAAGTCTGCAGGCCAAATTCATCCCTGGCATAAGTGGGTGTAACTCTCATTGAAACCACCAGGAGCTGAACCCACTTATATGAATCTTGTCTTCCATTCATAAGGATATAAAGGGACAATCAGTTATCATAAGAATGGCCATACTGGGTCAGACCAAAGGGCCATCCAGCCCAGTATCCTATCTTCCAATAGTGGCCAATGCCAGGTGCCGCAGAGGAAATCAAGTGATTCATCCCCTGTCGTTCATTCCCAGCTTCTGGCAAACAGAGGCTAGGGACACCATCCCTGCCCATCCTGGCTAATAGCTATTGATGGACCTATTCTTCATGAACATATCTAGTTCTTTTTTGAACCCTGTTATAGTGACTGCCAAAGTGTTAGTAACATGAAGCTTCGCTATGGCCTCTGTTGTGAAATCTTTGCTAGGAAGAGGGGTGAGACCACTGATTTGTGTGCAGAATCGTGCACTGATAAGTTTGTATAGTGCCTAGCACAATAGGTGCTACTGCAATATAAATAGTTAATCATAACAGTTAGTGAGGATGTGGAACGTTGTGTGTGTGTTTTAGTCCCTTTGATTTTCACCCTTGCTATCCTTGGTGCTCCTCCTCACCACTAAACTAATTTGAAATGGAGAGTCTGGATGCTGAATGCGTTATTGTAAAGCAGATGTGAAGGATCAGCAGCTGTGTCCGGTAGAGTGCAGTGTGGTGCATTCCTCAGTGCAGTTAGTAGTAAAGGCATACTGTCTTTAGGGTCATATATTTATGAGAAAGAGGGAACACACTGGGAGCTGTATGTGGTTTTCAAGAGGAGCCAGTATAAAACACGCACATTCAATCGAAAATATAAATTAACAAAATATTAAAAAATGTTTGACAGCATAAGTTCTCTGGGAACTGAGTGGTGAGCAACAATACCAGGGAATTGGTTTCAGTGCAGTCACTTGTGGAGCAGGAGGTAGAAAAGATGCAGAGCCAAGTCTTGACTCCAGGGAGGTCAGAGGCAAAATTCTTGTCGACTTCAGTGAGACCAGGTTTTGGCTCATTATCCCCATGATAGCAGAGGTCACTAATAAGATGGATAAAAGGAAGGAAGTACTGTAATGGCCAAATAAGGGTTACAAACCGTGGACAAAATCAAGACCCGGGGACTGATCGTGATCTCACACAGTGTAAAGGAGAAATTACTCTATTGTAATAAAATAGTAATGATAATACAATATACTTTTGCACTGTATAGCACTTTTCATCTGTAGATGTCAAAGAACAGGACCATGTCTCAGCCAATTAGACTATTGCATTTGGTAATCGAAAATAAATACATTCAATACAAGCCCCCTTTAGTGTGAAATGTAATTGCATTAAAGTATTTTCTCTGTCATTTTTTAGTTCCATGCTAATATGAACATTGCACAAAAATCTCTCTGATAATTAACGATGCTCTTAGTGTCCAGCGCTGTGCCTGTGGAATTTAGTTTGTGAAATATTTTCATTTAACAGTAATTATCTTCACATCTTGTGATCTAACTCCTAAATAGCTGTTGCTACAGCAACCTTTGGACAACCACCTCTCTTTGGCCATTGTAGACTGGGACAGTTGCATGGGTAGCTGTAGTAAAATCATGTGATCAACAGTCTAGCAATTTTTATGTTAATACTAATTATGAAAACCCATAGACCATGCGGCAGAAATAAAGTACTGCATAAGTTCATTTGCCGTAACTACTTAAAGTGACAATATAGCCATCATTATCACTTTGTATTACCAGGCAATTATGAATTACACTAAATATTTGACATTTAATTTCACATGTGCTGGACTTCATCTTTCAATGGTGAGATCTTTCATATCTTAAGAAATAAGCATTATGGCTCATGGGAATAAATCACTGTGCGTCTGTGTATGATTGCACATGGATCTTTATAGCCAATCTGTAGTGCCCGTCATCCAAGTGCCTCAAATCCTCTAACTGACATTACACCTGATCCTGAAGGGTGCTGAGCTCTTCTTGGAAAGTGAGGAGTGCCCTCATCTCCTATGAAAGTTGCTTATCATAGCCCAGGAGCTCAGTGCCTCTCAGGATTGGGTGCATTAAATGGACAGTGTCATATTAAAATCATATATTTTCAAAAGACAGTTTTAGTATTTTTATTATTTATGTTCCGCTAGGGGCTATAGACCTAGCCAAGAGTTAGGGCCCCATTCTGCTAGGCACTGCACAACTACGTAGCAGGGAACTTACTCATACAGATGTTAAATGACAGGCCCATGGTCACGCAATAGGTATGTGGCAAAGCTGGAAATTGAACCTAGAACAGAACCCACATCTCCTGAGTCCCAGTCCAGTGCCTTAGCCACGAGATCATCTTTGTCTCAATTTTCCTTACCTATGTTACTAATAACATCCTTGATTATTATAGCAGAAAAAAAGGTCAAATCTACTTTTCACTGTGTAGACTGTTTCCTTTTAGCATTTCTCTCAGCTTGGCCAACTAAAATAGGTTAACAAGTTTCTTCATTGGTTCCAGTCATTTTCTAGTTAGTTACACTCTTTGTTCTCATACAGTAGTGCAAGACTGCAATGTTTCACTTAAAAATGTTGGAGGGAAAAGTTTGTTTTCACTAATGTTTAAAAAAAATTATGGAAACTTTTTAATTATTCCATAATTGCCTTTGAGTTTCTGCTATATTATAAACCCTAAAATCTGCAAAAAGGATTATATGGTAATCAAAATTGGTAGGTTCGATCTGTGGCTAAATTAGAACATTTCTGTAAAAGTTAAAGTGAATTGAGCAAGGTGCACTGGAATTACGAGACCCTAAAAATTGTTGTTTACCAGAGTCCAAACCTCAGATAGGTGCCTGCAGATTTAATTTCACGGCAGTGATGTTTTTTTTTGTGTAGGAATTGATCTCAGGTTCTGTAAACATTATTGAAAATGCTAAATTTTCACCCAAATTTGACCTGACAGCCAGAAGATGGTAATAACTTTTGATCTCTACTGACAGGGACTGGAATTGATCTAAAGGTGAAGAATTCTATAACCCATTACCAATCCATATTATATTGGCAGTATTCCCCCAAATCTTAAACTTAAAATGTTTTTTTTTTCAAATCTGCTTTTCATTCAAACACATGCATTTTTTTTAAACAATGGAGGGTTTTATTTGTAACATACTCTCCAATGCTTAAAAATAACATTTTTTTCTAGCTGATTTCTTTTTTCCTTTTTCATATGATAGTCACTGGTTCCACCTGCCAGCCCTTAAGTTTGTTGCAGAATTTGAAACGAACCCTGCTTATTTCTGCTTACTTTCTTGTATGGGCATCTGTCTGTACAGATTGCTGCTGCAGGGCCAGCAGAGGGAGCAACAAATAGCATGTGATTAGGGTGTGCAGGGCCTGACTCTGCTTTCACTTAAACAGATGTGAAGTGGGAGTAACTCTGTTGAAGTTAGTGGATTTACATGAGTATAAACCTTGTGTGAGAAGAATTAGGCCCATTACGTATGTTTTATTTCTTTGTATAGATTTCTCTGTGACAAGAATGGTTTATTGTTTTTGTTTTTTTTAAAATGTATTTATTTATTTAGGGCAATCTCAGTGAAACTATGACAGTTTTATGGTACAGTTAGGTAAAATGTTAGGTTTGGATAAATCACAGACACATAGAAGAGATCATTACGATTATCTGGTCTGAACTCCTGCATAACACAGGCCATAGAATTTCAACCTGTAATTTCTGCATCAAGCCTACAATGTCTGGACGACCTAGAGAATATCTCAAAATTATCCCTTGATTTCCACCATCTGTTCTACGTACAGTAAACTTGGAGGGGAGGACAAGCAGTGAAACATTTAACATTTTGAGGAGTAGACTTTAATTTTCATGAAGTATTTTATAGGGTACAGTGCTGCATGCCAAAATAGAAGAGCAACAGATATAATGCACATATGGATATGGTCTACCCTGTGGTTGTACAGCATGTATGCAGATATAATACTTTCTAGATCACTTTGGAGTGAAATTCAGCCTCATAGTCTGAGCACAAGACTGGGAACAGGAAATCCTGAGGTTTTTTTTTTGTTTTTTGTTTTTTTGTATTAGTGCTGTTCAGAAAATTTCAAAATGTTTGAAATTTGGAAGCAAAATGAGCCATTTGTGTTGTTTTGTAGAATTTCTAACTGCTCCGCTCCTATTTTTTTTTTTTTAATCGGTTCTAAGTCTGTTTGGAAAACATTGATGAAAAATGGATAAGAGGAAATTCATTGACATTTCCCCCCCTTTTGGACCAGCTTTAGCTTTTACCTGGACTAAAGTAAATATTGATTCCTCTTGTGCCCTTGGACAAGTCCCTGCAGCTCTGATTCAGCAAAGCACGACAGCATGTAGATGACTAGTGAGTGCAAAAGCACTGCACAGTTGGAACTGTAAGCTCCTATTCTCCACTATTTCTGTCTCCAGTTTGTACTTAGCAGACAGTGGCTGCCACTGGGAAACGTTTGTCATGCCCTGATCTTCATCCACCCAACCCTGGCAGAAGTTAGCAGCAGGGGGTTTACTCTAACTTCTGCCATAGGTGTAAACTATGCTAGTGGGGGAGGGGTCTCCTGCCCCTTGATACATTCCTCCTCCCCATCCCCTTATACACATCCTTAGCCCAGTCTACACTACCTCCACCGTCGTTAGATCAGCAGAGATTCTCCCTCCAGTCCAAATCTCTAAGCAGTTTGTTCACTTTGCTCTTCTTACACGCTGCAAAGTGAACTTGATGGACCAGAGCATCTGGCCCAC